TAAACAGAGCCCACATTGTGCGGTGTTATACAACTGTCTTTGGTCACGAACCTGGCTCAGTGCACTGCTGACCTCTTTTCAATAGGGGCCAGATTAGCGTGCAGCGGTGCTATGTGGCTCATCGCTGCGGTGGTGGAGCGCTTTTGTCCCCGGTGGTAATCCGCTTGCTCTCAATGCCCCAAACCCTGGTATACAGTTTCAAAATAACGCTGGATTATCACCAATTTTGAGAGTGAAAAATGCCTCTAATGCCCAGCAGCCTGGTCTTTTGTTCGGAGTACGGTGTTTGGTTACAGGGCCCTGTTTCCTTTGTCCTAGTTTGGAGACCCCGGCCACGCATATAAACCATACGGCTCCGATTTCAGAGTCCCTGGCTGGTAGTGGTTAATAACATTTAAACATAAATATGCAATATCAATGACAATTTTATTGAAGCCTAGACATTAATGAACATTTCTATAATAATTTTGTTTCATGTTTTAAATATTACATTAGAGTAACAACAAAGTATAATGTTCACGTACACGTACGCTATATCTTTTGCGGTGCAGTGTATGCATGTACACTGTACATGCATATACACAAAGCTGGAGCGACAGCCCTGTGTGTGCAGTGGTTCACATTGTCGGTCAACTTTGCAGTCTGTGGTCACAAGCCCTGCCGAGATAAAGAGGTCTGGGGTCAAGCTTATCGTGCATTGGACCAGCAATACATGGTAAAAACCGCAAAGCGTGTATTGAACAGCGTGCCAGGTTCACTGATCGTGTTAGCATGTCAGCTAAAATTCTGACCTGTACTGTACATAACAGCCTGTATTCGTTCTGAATGTTCTGGGTACACAGTCTAGCTTGCTAGTTCCTTTCTTCATCTATTGTCATCCGAATTCAAACTTACTTTGCGGCTGCCTGTTCCTCAAATTTGCCTCTGAGATCAAACAGCTCTGACTGGCTGCCATCCAAAGCTGAAAGAGTATACATGTAGAAAGTTATAAATACACAGCATTCTACAATCTCAATACAAGATACAAAGTGAATAATGCCATTATCCTATTACTGTCAGAATTCCACAGAAATGTGATCTTCATAAACTGCAAGGACAACAGTGCATTTCCTGAGATAGCAAAATGTTTTTTCTCATACATGTATATCCTGTGTGTGTAACTTACAACTTACCATTTTGAAGGGTCTGTATTTTGAGTTCTGCCTCTCCTAGTTTCGTTGCTAAAGTCAACTGAGTTTCTTGCAAGTGTCTGTATAAACCAGGATAAACCAGAATTGTGGTAACCATACTGGTATATTTTAGATTGATTCACAAGGTTAGAGCCACAGCAGATAAGAATGTTACCATAACAACCTCAACTTCTATGGCAGGGAGCCCACAGAACTTTAATAGCCCATAAAGTCACGATCTTGCTCGTACAGGATTCCTGGGACCATAAATAAGGTAATGAAACCATAACTAAGGTAAACGAGCAAAAGAAACGACTTAATTACAAATTGTACCTCTCCTTTTCTAGGAATTCCCTCTGCAGTTCTTTCTCTTTCTCTTTTGCTCGACTCTGAGCAGCTGATTCCATCCGTTCCTCATACTCGCGTAGTTTCTCCTTCAAGTTCTTTATGGTCACCTCTGAAATGTCAAGTACAACAGTTATTCATTTGTGCAGAATGAGCATCACATACTCTCATAATCAAGATTAATTTTACACAAGTTTTGGTGTTAATTTCTCTACACCCGAAGTACTTATGTAATTCTAAACTGACAATTCCCTCACACCTACATGTACTTTAGGAGCCTCAACTTATCTCAACTTAAGCCAACAATTCAATTCACAATGTCAATTGTCATCAAACACTATTTCTTGCCACGCAATGTTTAAAGCATGCTGTTTACCCTGATTTTTGACCTCAGCAAACTCTAAGTTGTATTCTTCCAATGTCTCTCTCAGCTTCTGGTTCTCAACCTCAAGGTCTTGGGCTTTCTGGGCCCGTTTTTGTAGGTTCAAACTATGGTCCAAGACTGACACAGGGTCTGGAGGGAAAAAAAGTAACAATACTAAATTTAGAGAGAAGATCATAAGGGGTAGAAATGACGCTCTAGGCAAAGCTCTTTTCTGTAGGACAAACTGACAGTTGTCAAGGTTAATTTACTTCAACCACATCCAAATGAACCTTTTCCAATAGCAGATAATTTGATAACATTGAATTTTAATACATGTAATTAACATATACATGCATGTATACATGTACCGTAAACACATACATGTACAAGTTTGTTAAAATGCTTTGCTTTTGAAAAATTCTTGGATGTAGCAATTTATAAGAACTTTAACATTCTATTTTATGTTCCGAAGACTAAAGACCAACTTAGGTTCTAACGTCTAACTGTAGTCTACTCATAAGTACATCCATGTACATGTACATAGTGTCATACCCATATTTGATGTGCCCTTTTCAATTTAGTGACAGTTTACATGATTAACCTCTGACGTCATGTAACATGATGAAATGGCAAGGATTATACAGCACTCAACGTCCCGAAAGAACCGGTAAAACATATCGAAAAAGGTAGGATCAGCCATGAAAACTTTAACATGACAAAAGCTAAGTCTCCAAAATGTTGTAAGATACCGGTGGGAAAGTCAATGGTTGTGACATTATTAATATTGGTCTCTTTGTTATTACATTATTGGTCAATTTTTATTACATATTCAGATGATTTATATAATACTCATAGCTCAGAAAGTTTCCCCATTCAACAATGTGCAACGTGGCTGTGTATTATTTGACAATGCCCGCAGAGATATGATAATGCCCACTGTGTAAAAAACGCTGTGGTGCTTGGATACAAGGAGTCTGCGTGCAACGTGGCATGCAGAATGCCCCACACATGCATCAAGTCATATGGAGATTGTTCTAGAAAGCTTGCACAAAGAATGAGTTAAAAAGCATAAAATGGATTGGGGTGTAAATCAAAGTAAAATTCTGGAACAAAATCGTTGGAAATCTGTAACATACATGTAATGACTTCTTTTGACTCTCTCACTAAAAAAAAGGTATTTAATGAATATACAATGTAGGAACAACTTGAAAGAATGGGTTGTTACCAGTACATGTACATCATCCAAATGACATGTGGTTTCCAGTGAAGGACTGGTCTGCAGCTTGGGCATTAGTCGCGTCCATTCTCCTGAGTGGGTCTTAAAGGCACGTTTAAGACTGGCCAAGCGCGTATTTATTCACTTCTCAATAGCTTTAACATTCCCTCTGGTTCCCAGTACATACATGTACTGTATGCAACGGTACAGAACCTATTTATACATGTACATTGTACATGTATTCGTCACTGGTGGTGACCCAATGCTCTAACAAACATAACATTCTGGAGGAGTATTACATGTACCCCTACCA